GAGTGGTAGTGGTAAAAAATTCACGGTGCACGTGAGACTCGGCTAGAGGCCGAGTTTTCTGCATCCGTAGTAACGCCACCACCCTTCAAGGATCAAGGCGCAGATGCAGCTCCTAAAGCGGTGGGAGGTGAGTAGATCAGCTGGTAGTGGTAGTGGTACACTATTTGACGGACCTACTGAAGATGGCATCAACAAAATTGTTGCTCCATGACTTCGTTGTTGTGTGGCAATGACGGCAGAATTTGTTCTCCTTTTGGTTATTTTGAAAAGTGTTGTCTCCTCGTCGATTATTTGTATACAAAGTTGCTTGATGACGGTGAAAGCATGTGAAACACTTCTGTAGCCGTTCGTCTTTGTCTCCGTCTCTTCGTCTCCCATAATAAACGCCGTTACTCCTACCCGTCCCAAGTGGTTCCGTTGTGTCTGGGAGTATGACTCCTGTTCGGTACTTCACTGCATTTATACACGAGTTTGTTTGATGATGTGCGGAATTATTTCGCCCATACAAGAGGCATCATCAGAAATCAAGCAGCACTTTATAGGCGATTCACACGACAGGCAAATCCACGTGCACCGGAACGTTGCTGTGGTATTTTACCTGCGAACGAGAAAAGTGGCTGAAAGTGGCTGAAAAGTGCAAGCGAGCTAGGGGGCCCACTTTCACGATAATCTTGGCGTGCACGAGTACATTTACACCAAAAAGCGCGAAACAAGACTTGATTTTTTACGCGGCTCTTTTCAACATGATAATTATTATTGTATGCGTGTTTTGAAAATTTGAAATACTCATGGCAACTGGTGGGTGAATCATTCAAAAGTGCAAACGTGACTGTAGTTGAGTGCAGCTGTGTGAATCCACAGAGTCACTTTTCTGGTGAATCACTTGCTGTAAAACATGCAAGTTCCTGTAGTGTGAATCGCCTATAAGCAGCAATCAAGCAGCAGAAGCAGCAGCAGCAGCAAGAAGAGATAGCCGCACAGCCGGCCTGGTCTTACCCGTGATTGGCAGGTGACCAGGACATCGGAGCAGGGCACCGAGCCCACGTTGACGCAGTTGACTATCGCCGTGCCGGGCTGCGGCATCTCCACGGCGATGGATCCCGGTGATGGTAAGGTTGTGGCCGTGACGGGAGTGCTGCCTGGACCCTCGCCGGCACTCGTACTGGAGAAGACCTGCCGTGATAGCAGCACAACACCAATCATACCGTCAAGACGGTAGTCACAAACACGCTAACGAGACGAGATTGCCACAAAGACACTACCATGACAGCATTGCCAGGCACACCATTCAGACAACGCTGCCAATGTCACCATGACAGCATTGCCAGGCACACCATGCAGACAACGCTGCCAATGTCACCAAGACGCCATAATCCCTCTGCAGAGCGCGCAACTTCACTGATCAGATCTGGGACGGCGAAATCCGTGTTGCACGTCATAGTGTGACATCATGAGTTGGGGAAGTGTGTTTCGTGGTGGACAGCGTCTACGGAATGACGCAAGTCCGACACAGAAAATGACGTACATCGCGGATTACGCTGTCCCACAACCCCCATCCCAGTTGCGCCTTCTGGGGGATTATGGACTCTTGATGTCACAAACAAGACAACACTACCACACACACACACACACACACCGATACGCGACAAAATTACCAAACACAAAAAAGGACATTAGCAATGACGCCATCAGAAGATGATATTACGAATTACACCAGCAAGATGACATTACCAAACTGTGCGCTGTGTTCCTCCACCTGCTCTGCACATCGAATGGACTCGTGTTGCCATGTTGCATGCCATTTCCAATGTTGCTTCAACGACGATGATCACGACGACGACAACAATCACAACCAAAAAGAGTGCGCACACTCACTGCGGCAGTGACGTACGTCAAAGCCACCATCTCTCTCTTTCTCTCTCTCTACAATGCACTTGCACAGAGTGCATTGACATTTCTGTCAGTTCTAACTAGGAATTAAAAGACCGAATTTCCCCGGTTATAAGTCGCACCCTTCTTTTCAGGTTTGAGCTAGGAATGAGTCGGGTAGCATTTTCTTCGGGTGTCGGGTTCGGGTAGTGGTAGCACGTGTACCTGATGGGGTAATGTTTCCATGGTAACACCACAATGCCCCCCCCCTTCCCTTAATAAGGCCGATTCACAATACAACTTTCTGCGACGCGACATGCGACTTGCGACACATGCGACGAGCTGCGACAGCGACACACGGTTCACAATATTCTTCATGTTTGCGACATCCTCATGCACAAGTAGTACTATGCACGTGCACTGCACGTGCACCCAGGGTCGAAACTGTACTACATGTGTGTATGTCGCGTGTCACGTGTCGCATGTCGTAAAAGTTGAACTTTCTTCAACTTCTGCGACAGGTGCATTGTGACAGCTTGCGACAGCTCGAGACAGGCAGTTTCTTGTCGCAACTGCCGCAAATCGCGTGTCGCGTCCCAGAAAGTTGTATTGTGAATCGGCCTTTACACACTGGGTAGACATGCCGAGTATTACATGAATTTGTACAGGTGCACTGTACTTGATGTCATCTGCGACTTCAGGTTTCCGGGCACTATTCTTTACCCGACTACCCGAGGTCCTCCCGGGTAGCACGGGTACCCGACTACCCGTGCACACCGCTAGTTTGAGCCATGTTGTTTCAATATAGTCATGAAGGTAGGACGTCACACTTGACTGCAAGTCGCACTCGCCCTTCTGTGCCCTTGAAGTTTAGTGAAAAAGGCGTGACTTATATTCGGGGGAAATACGGTAGAAATACGGTGGGTCACAAAGAAACAGAACAAGACTGACCGTGATTGAGTACATGGCTCCTGGCGTGAGCGATGTAATCGTAGCGTTGAGCACTGTACTGTTGACGCTCACTGGGTCGTCGCTGACGGACGCCGAACTGACCAGCGTGGCCTCCGCGCGGTAGTGCGTGATGATGCCGTTCGTGGATGTACCGGGTGCCGGAGCGTCCCATTCGACCAGGATGGTGTCCGGCAAGAGCACCGTACGACGGACACCAGGCGTTGCTGGTGGTACTGGAGAGAAACAAAACAAACACACACACAAACACACACACACACACACACACACACAAACACACACAGGTGAGAAACCTTTAAAAAAAACTGCACAGCCTTGCTCAAGCAGACGTCATGAAACAACAATGGTTCATACGACTATACAATAAAACATTTAGGAAACATCACTTCTCAACTCCAAACTCCAGAACCCAGAACGGTCTCTTCACTGCGAATCAAAGATGTGCTAGAGCTGTTAGCCAGTTAGTTGTAGAACATCAGTACCGTCGGTCAATGTCGTGCACTGCTATCGCATGAGCTGATTGTTTAGTAACTGGTGGTGTCAGTGGACATTTTAGTGTAACTTGCAGTTCCTTGGTCCTTTTTACTTTTTATAGATTCTTTTTTGGAGTTTGGAGTTGAAGTTAAGTTTCCTAAATGTGTAAATGGCTGCGTTGGAGTTTGCAGACAATTAGAAACGTCTACACAATAAAAGTTTTTTTTAAAGAAGAAAAATATCGTGTCCGTTCCCGAAGGGAACTCACGCCGGCCGCCAACACCAGGTAAACCCTAGTGGCAGATGCAGCGCCTAACGGCGGGGGTGAGTGGATAAGTCTCACAACCACTGGTGCAAGTGCCGAGAATCCCCAATAGCCGCATCCATGTACCCTTTGTGCCCGGGATGCTGGTGGCAAACGTCACGAGGTACACAGCGGATTCATACCACTCCTCAATGTTGCCGATGTCAGAAAACTCTCGGCACAGCGATGAGCTAAACATGTCAAATTTCTACTGGCTAGCTAGCTTTCTGTGGCGAGCTACAGATACATTTCCCTTGCAGTCAAGCACTTTGGATACAGTACAGTCCGCCGCTGGAGAACGGAAAGAACGAACAGCCTAGAATTTCACCACTAACACCATACTAACGTATACATGGTGACTCCACTGCGCATAGACTGGAGTACTGCATGTCTACAAATTTTCGGCCCATTCAAACTCCGGCCTCCCAGGGCTAAAACCCATTACGGCCGCATCAATTTTTCGGCCTGCACCGCTGCCAGCTGTGTACACTGTCACACTGAATCTTGCAAAACAAAATTGCAGCCCCAACAAATTTTCGGCCAAACATGGCTAGGCCGAAAATAGCCGAAAATAGATATGCGCTGAATATTTGTAGACTTACAGTACATGAAAATAAGGACTGTCTAGTCTACGAGGCTTTTATTGTCGGTACTTTCGGTGCGTCTGTTTCAAGCCTGAAATTTCAATACACCGAACAAACACTACCACACATAATCTAATAGGGAACTGCTTCGCTGTACAAATCTAAAATTTCTGTTCGCCTTACCCGGCCCGCGTGCCCTGTACCGAAAATATTGAGCATCTAAAGTATCTGAGATTAGAGCACTTACATCCTGTCAGGGTTGTGACGACAGCCGGTTGTGCACCTGTGTTGGCCGTGGTGCCCCAGCTGTTCTCATACGACACGACGGTGATGTTGTGCACGGTGAACGGGCTCAAGCCGGGGATGCGCACCGACGGACTGTCCGACAACACGGTGAACGTGGAGCCGTTCTCCGGCTGCACCCGAACGGCGACGCGACTGGGCGCCAGAGACGCGGTCAGCGCACGACACTCGCTGCTCAGCACGGGCGTGGGGGCGAGAATGTCGACGGTCGTCTGGGTTACGGCGAGCACGGTCGGCGGCATACGTGTCAGATCGCTGACCGGCGGTCTCAGGCAGGCCAAACCTGGAACGGGATTACGACAAACAGCAACGTACGTTATAATGGTAATTCATGCACCGCACCTTGCACCACACGACTATGCAGTTCCAACTGGCACATACAGTGGTATTAGTGTTCAAGCGGACACAATTACAAGTAAGAATTCAGTCCGATGTACCGTGGCCACTCACTTGGTACTGGTTGGAGCTGAGTGCCAAAGGCCACTATCGGTGAGTCTGGTGATCGGCTGGTGCTCATGAAGGCCGATGTAGAGGCCAGCTGATCGATTCTCTGGTAGTATATGGTGGAGGTGACTCCGGCCAGGGTCCAGTATAGCAGGGTGTTGTCACTGTACAGAGAGTCAATGCTTGCCGACATGGCTGCAGGGAGCAAGGTAGAACAAGACATTTAGGAGAGAGAGAGAGAGAGACTGTTTGTGTGTGTGTGTGTGTGTGTGTGGGTGTGTTTGTGCGTGCGTGCGTGTGTGTGGGCATGCGTGTGTGTGCGTGTGTGCAAGTGTGTGTGTGTGGGGGGGGGGGGGGGGGGTGTACGTGGGTGGGTGGACGCGCTCGTGCGCAAGTGTGTATTAGTGTGTATTAGTGTGTGTGTGTGTGTGTGTGTGTGTGTGTGTGTGCGTGCGTGTGTGTGTTTGTGTGCGCGTGTGTACAAGTGAATGTGACCCCAGCGCACACTCACCATGGCCGGGTTGGTAGAGAGCGCAGTTGCTCTGAGCCGTGGCGGCCGTCAGGTTGGGACAGCGGAACACAGTGACACCGGAACTGGACACAGCTATGTAGGTGCGATCCTCAACGGCGGAATAATGAATAGCCGTGACACCGGCAGACGTCAGAACACTCTGCACTGAAATCTGCCTACGCCGGCGTTTCGCACTGGCTGCAGTGGTTGGTGGTGACGTTGCTGATTGCTCGCCTACTGTCATCTGAACAATACTGTCACCGCTCAGGTAGAAAAGAGTTCTGCGGGTACGCGTGGATTTAGACAAGAATGTGCACGTACACACACGTGCATATGCACATACACACACATACGCACACATACGCACGCGCGCGCGCACACACACACACACACACACACACACACACACACACACACACACACACACGTATACATGCACATACACACGTGCACGCACGCAGGCACACACACAAACACACACAAACATAACTGTTACACAGACACACACACACACACACACACACACACACACACACACACATTTGTACTTGCTCACAGACAAAATTGATATTGTCAGTTCTTTTTCATCATAGTCTAGGAACTGTGGCATCATTCGGAAAGCTGACTGTATGCTAGGTCAAGTCCGATACTACGTACCTGATGCCCATGGGGGACATCTTATCAGAATCCCATAGTATGCACATTTACTCCCGCAGCTATGCAAAAGACGTTACTTCAGTAACGTCTGGCGCTAGCCAGGGTCCACACAGCTTTAATTCCGTGTTAGTGTGTTTGTGCCGTCGGCATGCCTGGCGCTATCCCGTACCTGTCCCGTGCCGTACCATCAAAGACAGCTGGCCACAATATTCAAATAGGGCTTCCAAATGCAAAATCATAACGGAAAGCAACTTGGAAGAATGAGTATGTATGCGAAGTGTATCGGGGGAATGCATGCAGGGCGATAGTGCGGGTTCGATTCCTAGGTTATGCCTTGAAAACAAATCGGAGAAATGAAAAATTTATAACATCTTTATGCTCTTTTTGCCTAGGTCATCAAGGTGGTAGACGGTGTCGTATTACTCTCGAATTCAAAGAAAAAGTTTCTAACAACATGCATGATGAGCTAGGCAAAAAAGCATAGCGTAGGGCCCTGAGCTTCCAAGCTCTCTCGTATGTTTATGATTTATTTTATTCCAAGCAATACATGGCTGAGGTAGCTAATGGCCACTTTGCGTGGCGATTGCAGAGTTTTTATAGCCAACCACGGCTGACAAGGAAAAGAGCAAGAAGTCAAAAAGAAAAGGAAAAGAACGTCGATTATGCCAGTTCAACTTGCACAGAGTGTCCTCGGCACACTTACCCGGACTTTGGTGAGTAGTTCAAAGAGTTCAGCACGCTGCCCGTCGTAGAAAAGAGAATGGTACCCTGCAGTGTAGATGCCTGACACACATCACCCACTGGCAGTCTGACTTGGTACACGGAGTAGTTGGTGCCACGCTGCTCTATGGTGTAGAGAACGCGGCCGATCCAGTCGAACGACAGACCGACCACGGCGCGGTTGTCAAACGCTGACGGCTCCGTGCGTAACGTGCAGACCTGACGCGCACACAGAGTGTGTTCAAATGTACACACGCGCGCGCACGCACACACACACACACACACACACATGCACACACATACACACATGCACACACACACATACATACACACCCACCCACACACACACATACACACAAAACATATCTATAAGGTTAAGGCAGTTGAACACAAACACGTACACAAAAATATAAGCACAATCATGCATGTAAGCACACAGAATACTAACTGCTGTAGATAGCAAGCTGTTTCGGCCATAAATGCCTCATCAGAGAAAGCAGCAGCAGCAACGACTCACCACTCCGTCACTGCTTTGGTATCGCAGCGCCCAAGTGCTCTGACCAATGGCCGCCACCCAGAACGTCTCGTTGGAGCGCGAGTCAAACTGTATGAAAGTCACCGAGTACTGTTCCGGGCTGGGACCGCCGATGATGTCAGGCGTGCGAACAACGGGCTGAGCACTCGCCTCCAGGCGGTCAACGTCGAACACCGTGATGCTGCCGGGCGCGCTACCCGAGGTGGTCAGGATCTCGGGGACAAACACCCCTCCTGCAGGTAGGGCAAAGAAAAAGCGCATCAAAGCCCGCGCTTGTGCCAGATTAGAGTCGCGCGGACCTGGCATGCCAAGACCCCTCCTGCAGAAAGACAATGGCACCCTCTAGGATCAAGGCACAGATGCAGCTCCTAAAGCGGCGGGACGCGAGTAGATCAGAGACCCACCACAAATTTCTATAATAATAATTATACCGCTTGCATGTCTTTGTCTCGATACATTTCCTCATATAATTTCCTTCATCTTTCTGCGAGAACCGGACCTATGGGCCGGTAAGAAGACAATCATGCCTGTGCAATCGGTGAAGTAAAATAGAAGTTAACCCTTTCACTGCCGCTGTCGACTGCAGTCGACAGCGCATTCATGCACTCCGAGTGCCAGTGTCGACTTGCGTCGACGAGTAAACATGCAGTCCCCAGTGCTGTTGTCGACTTCCGTCGACAGGCAGACCTCACCCAGTTCGTGCCTCTATTTTCGAATATTGGAGATGTTTAGCCATGGCAGACGGCCACTGGCCCCTGGAAGATGTCCATACCCATCCAAATACGCTTCCAGAAGTATGGGTTGCCATTTGAAAAAAATCGAACCAGCGTCGTTGAAAATGCGCATCCGATTTTTAGCCGAACGGCGAGGAAGAAATCGGTTCTCACGCACTTCCACCTCGCTGAGTCGGTGCGAGTATTTTCATCTTTCCCGTCAACTTTCATTGCAGGGAGCAAGGAATTTGGTTCAGACTTGATGCCTAGCTATTACCCAAGACTCCAGGCGGCTATCCGTTGCGATAGGCGGTTGGAGTCACGGGTAGAGACAACCAGACGATGGATTCCTCGCGGACGCATTCACTGCAAACTTGACGGAAACAGCGCTGGCGGCGGTCACTGGGTCCAGAACTAAAATTTTCTAAGAACTACCACGTTACAATGGCGACCAGCACGGTCAAGAGACACTACAGGTATGTCAGCTACAACATAATTATATTCTTTCTACAACGACACCGACCTCTGGCTCAATACCTGGCGATCTACTGCAAGCTGATGCGAAAGTGAATTACACTCGCGAACGCCGCGCTTGTCAACGGAACAGGGAAGCGCTTCACTCTCCGAAGTTGAAAAGTATTTGGACTGCTGCTAATTGGGAGAACAAACGACCACCATGGCGGCAGAACATTCCGCAGCCGTTCACCAACACGATCCGCTTCACCAAACGACATACGAACGTTTCGTTCTCCGAGTTCCGTTTCTGGTGGCAGCAACAAGAATTTTGTCCGCAACGACAGGACGAAAGTCTCTCGCAACTGAAGTCCTGTTGCCACGAAGATAGAGAAGATTCCGGAAGCCATCTCTTCTGCTTCCAGTGTTTTATCTCTCCTGTCCACTGGCATATCTTTCAATCCCAGCGACCAAAAAAAAAGGATCTGCTTCTCTCTCCAAAACAACAACTAACTAACTTTACTTCGCGAGTGTCCGGGCCGATCGTGTACATAGTGTATGTAGCGCATGCGGCGCACGGCGCACTTTCGCATGACATGACACGCATTTTTTGCACAGCGGCTGGCGCTAGATTGCGCAGCACGTTTGTACTTCGGATTTTGCGATTTTTTTTGACGGCAATGGCTTCCTTTATGAGTTGTCTACCTACGATGTATACTTTGGAAAGCGATATTCCGCACAGAAAGTACCAAAAAATCCAGGAAAAGTAGGCCTTTCGATTTTTCGAGCTGGAGGTAAAAAGTGCCTGGCAGGGAGGGGGTGTACAGATCAGCTGACAGCCTGGCAGGGAGCGCCTTGTCACCTTGAGTGGTCAGCTGGCAGTGAAAGGGTTAACAACGACAACAACGACAACAACAACAACAACAACAACAACAACAACAACAACAACAACAACAACAACAACAACAACAACAACAACAACATTGCGCCCAGCCTACGTGATTAACTCCCAATTAGTATTACCATCGCTACTGCCTCAGCAAGCAGCTAAACTTTGATCTCTCTGTATCTGATCCCCGTGCCTGTAATTATTTTTCTCTTATTGGCCACAGGCCATCGTGAGAATAAAAGAATTCAAACAACAACAACAACAACAACAACAACAACAACAACAACAACAACAACAACAACAACAACAACAACAACAACAACAACAACAACAACAACAACAACAACAACAACAACAACAACAACAACAACAACAACAACAACAACAACAACAACAACAACAACAACAACAACAACAACAACAACAACAACAACAACAACAACAACAACAACAACAACAACAACAACAACAACAACAACAACAACAACAACAACAACAACAACAACAACAACAACAACAACAACAACAACAACAACAACAACAACAACAACAACAACAACAACAACAACAACAACAACAACAACAACAACAACAAAGTGGTCAGAGACCGAGAATCCCATTTGCTGCATCCATGCTTCCCGCCAGTAGGAGCTGGAGCACAAGCCGCACCCAAATTCGTTGTCAGGAAATACAGATACCTACCCCGTTATCACCATTCATTTCACCATCCATTTCACCATCCATTTCACCATCCATTTCACCATCCATTTCACCATCCATTTCACCATCCATTTCACCATCCATTTCACCATCCATTTCACCATCCATTTCACCATCCATTTCACCATCCATTACATCATCCATTACATCATCCATTTCACCATCCATTTCACCATCCATTTCACCATCCATTTCACCATCCATTACATCATCCATTACATCATCCATTTCACCATCCATTTCACCATCCATTACATCATCCATTACATCATCCATTTCACCATCCATTACATCATCCATTTCACCATCCATTTCACCATCGTCGTATACTAGTAAGCCCACTACTAAGACCCTTCTCGGGGTGAACTACTCGTGTTTAAAGTGCGGATTATCCCCCGGAAAATATAGTCTGGCCCCGCCACCACTTCTCGCAAATATTCGGGAATATAGTTGACTTAAGATAAAAGTAAAGTATTCAAAATAAAAAAGAGGACCAAAAGCAATTTTAATCCTTGGCTCTTCATCCGAGTTTAATGTATTCAGCTCGCACATACCAAGGGCTTGTAATGTGACGGTGGCGGAAGACGAGAAGGGGCCTTGTCCTGCGGAGTTAACACCAAGTACCTTTACCACAATACATGGCGCATTCATATACACACAGGCAGACGCATCGCACATACACGCCCATACATACGCAAACATACACACACACACACACACACACACACACACACACACACACACACACATATCAACACCCATGCAAACACTCACAGAAGAAAATACACACGAACCATGCCAGTCCAAACCCATTGGTTGGAAAGAACAGTTTTTAACAACGTGCAAACTCCGTGCCAGTCATTCACATACTACTCCACACAGACTGAACACTCACTCAAACCATGAAATGGTCGCTCTGCTGCGAACGTCCCTTCTGATTCGACAACCGCTACGGCACGGCGCACCATCAGGGTTAACAGGAAAATGGCAAGAAGCCAAAATAAAATATTTTCGGATAAGCAAGGAAGCGCCGCAAGAGCGGTGTCCGGCTATGCAGGGGATTCTGCAGGACGACGCTGCTCAAGGCACACTGTATGTGACAGGGGTCTCGGCTAGTTTGCTCACCTCAAGAAGATACGTGCCACCTGCCGGCAGGGAGGAGAAAGTGTGTGACTGTATCCGAATGCCTGGAACCGTCTGAACAACAAAACAACAACAACAGACAATGCACCGGAACAAAAGATATGTAGATGCTTTTCTCCACCTACTTCCAGCCCCGTGATACAACTCCGTTGGACGGATTTTTTTGCAAGACGACTACGGAACACAACTAGAGACGAATAAAAAATAAATGAATAAAATAATAAAATAACGTACTACACCTGCAGTGCGCTGCAAAATTTCGGCATTTCAGGATTTTCGCCATTTCGGCAGCGATTATTTTCGTCACGGTGTAAGTACATGATTGTAGTAGCGGTAGATGATCAAAGCCGATGTGAAACATTTCATCAGTTTCAATTTCGACGTTTTGGGTCGGTGCCGAATACTGTCGAAAAGCTGGGGAGGCACTTCACCTCCCCGACTGATCCTTTGAATTTGAGGTTCTCCCAATCCTTTTCGGAATGAAATACTGTAAAAGCCATGGCATATATATAACGAAGTGCTAATTCTAACGAGTTAACGAGAAGAAATCTTGAAGTTGGTTGCTCCAACGAGGAGCACACGCTTCTTGCCGAACTTGACACTTGACTGACTCACGACTGCCATCTGGAGCACACGAGATGGCAGTCGTGAGTCAGTCAAGTGTCAAGTTCGGCAAGAAGCGTGTGCTCCTCGTTGGAGCAACCAACTTCATGACTATTGCCGCCGAAGTCGCAACTTCTAAGTGAGAAGAAATCTGTCGTTAAAATAGAAAATTAATGGTTTTACAGAAATCGATACATAATACTGTTCTACTGAGCGTTGAAAAAGCGTGAGAATCGCTACCTCTTGGTACACGTAAACCAGTCAATTTTGGGAAATCGTTATAAGGGAAACCGTGATAATTATATGCGCCTCGTTAGAACAATGCCTTTTACAGTAGACGCCGAAATTTCAAATATTTGCAGTATGCGAATGCAGGCTAGAGCCATAGGAATGACATCACTAACCTGACCGGAGGGTCCACTCAAGCGGACAGTGTAGGATGTGATGTTGCCGTTCTGCTGGTCGAGGGCGATGGCGTTCCAGCGGAACTCTATGTCGCACTGCGTGTCTCCACAGCTGTAGAACACCCTGGTGTCCAGTGGAGCCCCCACCGGTGCTGCACGTACACACACGCATGTGTGAACACACACACACACACGCATGCGCGCATGTGGAAACACGCACGCATACACACACACACACACACACATACACACACACATTCACACACATTCACGCACGCACGCACGCACGCACGCACGCACGCACGCACGCACGCACGCACACACACACACACACACACACATACACACACACATTTGTTCGGTGTACTACTTTTATACAACAATGACATCACTGCAAAACGGTGGTGTACAACAATGACATCACTGCAAAACGGTGGTGTACAACAATGACATCACTGCAAAACGGTGGTGTACAACAATGACATCACTGCAAAACGGTGGTGTACAACAATGACATCACTGCAAAACGGTGGTGTACAACATTTACATCACTTCAAAACGGTGGTGTATCACGATGGCATCTGTACAACAATAGCATCATTGCAAAACGGTTGTGTCCAATGATGACATCATTGCAAAACGGTTGTGTCCAATGATGACATCATTGCAAAACGGTCGTGTCCAATGATGACATCATTGTAAAACGGTTGTCCAATAATGACATCATTGTAAAACGGTGGTGTACAATCATGACATCATTGCAAAACGGCTGTGTACAATAATGACATCATTGTAAAACGGTGGTGTACAATCATGACATCATTGCAAAACGGTTGTGTACAATAATGACATCATTGCAAAGCGGTTGTGTACAATAATGACATCATTGTAAAACGGTGGTGTGCAACAATGACATCGTTGCAAAATAGTTACGGAACACGCTACAGTATTTGCCCCAAGCTCTCACCTGCATCTGCTGAAAAGAACTCGTCAGCAACGATGGCCGATGGCAGATACGTGGAGAAAGCTTGAAGGCTGACTACTTCCAGGCGTGTGGCTGGTAATAAGCCATCCACTGTGATGCTACTTACATCAGTTAGCTACACACCGGGGAGGAATAGAACAGAGTAGAAGGTGTCTAGAAGGTGTCTATCACTCAGCAGGGGCGTCGGAAGATATTCAACATTGGTGCGGCCGCATGAGTAGGTGGGGGTCCGGGTCCCCCCCCCCCCCCACCAAATTTTCAAATAACCCATACAGTAAACTTCGCTGATAAGGATTGCGGATATAACGACAATTCGCGAATAACGACCGAATTTCCATGCCCAGAGCATAGTCCCAGCCATCTGTAATACCGAAGTCTCATTATATGTCATATAATGAGACTTCGGGTATAAGGACACTTCGAGAATAAGGACAATTTTCTGATGCCCCGCCGAGTGTCGTCACAAGCGAAGCTGACTGTATTTCTTTGCTTCAAAAGTCCCAAGATGAAATTGTTGATGCGGCTTTGGCCGGACCTGGCGCACCGGTTCTGACCCCCTGCTCAGTCCTTCTTACTCTTATCCTACTTCATCTTATGTTTTCCCGCAATCAGATTTTAAGTCATTTCAGTGGGACATAGTTTAGCTACGGTGCTGGCAACTGAAATCCGACCCCCGAGCGGTGCGTTCACATTCTAGCGGCCTCTATTTCGTAGTTTTACAATCCCGTGTTGGGTCTTTGTGATGTGAGCGCGCCGCTTAGGGGTCGCATTTCAGTTGCCAGCACTGGACATTCTGCCTTCCAGACATCTGAGCACTCGGAGACTGAGTGAGAACACCGCTTTGTTCATCATCCGGTAGAGGGGGGGGGGGGGGGGGCGGCGCCAGTTCAAGTAGATCAATGCAATGCTTTCAGTCATAAGAGATTCCAACTGAACTCTCTCTCTCTCTCTCTCCTTTATATATGCCCTGTGCTCTGTTCATTGAGCACTTTTCCGGCAGTTTGCGAAACCTTCTTTGCAATCCCAGTAATGCGATGTGCACAATGAACATGTGACAACATCCGTTAGTATTAGTTACTCTGGCTAAACGGTCCTTTTCTAAGGCACTCTCATAGAATGGGCTTGTAGTTTATGCGCTCTTTTTTTACCTGATGGGTTCTGATTCTTCTGGGATAATCACTATGACAAAATACAAATACGAAACAGCGAGGACAGCACAGTACGAATATCTTAGCATAAGTACACCTCAGAAGTAGCGACGAACTCGGCCATTTGAAAATAATTGGAACTGTCCACCTCTCCACACCGCGCTTTCGGGCGACATTCCCAACACATTCGCACGAACAAATTTCCTCTCTATGGAGTTTGGTGTTGTGAATGTGTGCCAAGAGTGCAGTGTGGAGAGGTGCACAGTTCAAACTAGATATACATACACCCGTTACAGTAACTGACCGTCACGGGGCACAGCAGTTCGGCGAGCACGGGAAACCCAGTACCGTGCGCCGTGGTGCGATAGACCAGATTGTACGTGATGGGCGAGCCGTCGCAGAGCGGAGTCGACGCGTCCCACTGCAGCACCAGCCTGCTGGAGTTGCTCATGGCCATGTTCACGGCCAGGTTGGACGGAGTGCTTGGCCTGGCATCCGCGGGCAGGTCGACGAAACAAGCTACGAGAAAAGCACGACGCGGTATGCACACAACACATCGGTGATAAGCGCAAAGAGAACTCGGTTATTGCATGGATACGTTCACTGAGGTCATCAAAGAGGAAAGGGTAGGTAGACGAAACAAGCTCTTGGAAAACACAACGCGGTGTGCACACAACACATCGATGAAACACACGAAGAGAAATCAGCCATTGCATGCACACGCTCACAGTAGATAAACGGGTGAGCAACAAACAGCTTTTGGCCTGTTTATCAATAGTGGTGGATGTGGAATTTCTTTATTGACATGCTCACTTTTAGAGCATCAGCTATGAGGGAAACACGACAGTATGTACACAACACATCACGACGCTCGTGCTAAAGGGGTTAAACCATGTTATACTGTACTAGTAGTCGAGTGTGACATACAATGTGTGAAATACATCATAGGTGCAGCACACCGGCGCAGTGCACACTGATCTATTGGGTAGTTTGACAGCTTCACGCAATGCCTGATCTCCCACTCACCGTTGAACGGCTGAAGGTTCTCGGCGATGACCCTGACGTCCGACAGGAGAGCACCATTGGCGGCACGGAACGAAGCAAAGTACGGTGGCACGACGTTGGAGAGCTGCGTGTCGACAACGGACACACTGCCCGCCGCATCCGGCGTGCGGTAGTAGACCTTGCTGTCGAACGGCGAGATCGGTGCGATGGGTCTGCGGTTACACCGAACAACAGAATGGCACCAATGCGTGAAGCATGGCTGCAGTGTTTTTTTGCGGGGCAACTTGTCCCATATTTGGCAGGTACAGCCAGGTCTAGTGCATGTGTGAGTATAACCAACTCTGGGATGGGGTCGTGGGACGGCGTGATCCGCAGTGTGCGTCATTTTCGTGCCGGACTTGCGTCATTCCGTCAACGCAGTCCACCACAGAAACACTTCCCCTAACTACTCGTGACGTCACACTATGACGTGCAACACGGATTTCGCCGTCCCACATCTGATCAGTGAAGTTGCGCACTCTGCATAGGGATTATAGACTCTTCGTATGACTGTACAGAGTTCATTAGCTTTTACGCAGAGCTAGCTGGCATCACAGTGTGTACGGCTGAAGTGGACTTGCTCCGCAAAACCTAACGGCGGGAAGATTATGCGTAGCTCTCATTGCACATCACGGCCACTTCTGTTCAGGACTAGTGCCCACCATTCTATGATTTCAAGTCTTCCCTTTCTAATCTTGGTCTTTTTCCCACATTAATTTTATCCTATTCCCATAACTGATTTTGTTTTCGTATCTCACACTCTTTGCTCACCTGGTAACTCTCTGAAACAATGAAACATACAGCAAGCAGTACATTCCTCCAGCATAAACTTTGGCTGTGTTGGGTGTCCATTGCACAATGCTCCAATACTGAATGGAGCAAATTCTTCGGGGGACTTTGTAATATTCTTACCGGCTTGTGTGTATAATCTGGGGGCAGGGTGAATGTACACATCGGCTTGTGTGTATAATTGGGGGGGGGGGGGCAGGGTGAATGTACACATCGGCTTGTGTCTAATCGGGGGGGGGGGGGGGGGGGGGGGCAGGGTGAATGTACACCGCACTCTCTGTATCATACTACAGTTTAGTCCCCCCGGGGTGATAATATCACTTACAAAGAACTGGAGAACACGGTAACGAGGCTGACTCTGCAACACACACAAGAACAACAAACAAGAAAGAAAGCAGCGACTTTAAGAAAGCTAGATACCAAGCAACAGCACTGTCAAGCTCTGCCTAGACATCCATGGATAGCAGCCTTGATCGTTTCCCACAACCTGTAGACGTTATGCGAATGACGTCATAGGGGGGGGGGGGGGGGGAGTTACCATGCGCAAATGATGTCACTACGGTGAGTCAGCAGATGCAGTGATGGGCGCTGAGTGTGGAAAGGCACACGGAGATACTTTCTTTGGAGATTCGAACGGCAAATCTGTATTGAGTGCGAAGCCAGAAGACCAATGCTAGTTTCGTGCAGCAAACCAGCAAAAGTGCATCACCCTGACTCGATACAAAGACTTTTTCACTGCAAACAAAACATAACCTGTATTGCCCATCAAGCACAGTGGCACTGTGGCAGGGTCTTGCACTCGCTCTATGGAGATCATGAATGACGGATGAATCCTACTGGACAGCGCAGCGCGAGAGCCATAAGAGTAGCCAGTAACGACATCATGTTGTCATCATCATGGCATCATTATGTCATCATTACGTCATCACGATGTCATCATGATGTCATAATTTGGATGTGTATTATATAAGGAGTGGCATTACAACCACTGGCTTGCCTCTCAACATTAAGCATAATGATGTCCTTTGAATACCGATCCTACAGCAGCCTAGACTACTACTTACAAGTGTCCAATGAGAGGCATGGGTGTGCCATACTTGAGAACGGTCTGCGTCCCAATCTCCAGCGTGTAGTAGAGACGGTCGGTGGTGACGTCATACTGAACAGCCTGCACAGTATACAGTGCACAGTGCACAGAGGATCAAACCAGTTCACACAAGGACATACAGTCACATTAGAGTGTGAAAAAGACTCTCATACGGGCGGTCACAGAACACGATATGACAGGCCTGGCACAACAACTAGCAAAAAAGCAAAAATGGACTCGGATGGATAGCCCAGGATAAATTTATAGAAAAGAAAAAGGACCAAGGAACTACAAGTTACGCTATAATGTCCACTAACACCACCAGTTACTAAACAATCAGCTCATGCGATAACATTGGACAAAACAAAACTATTATTTTTAAAGAAAAAGAAAATGAAACTTGACAATCTGTGCACAATGATAACTCCACTCTTGATAGTCTCTGCTAGATCTGTCTGTATCCGTTACCCGTTTTAGCTAGTTGCCAACAAGCCGGGCTTCGGAAACGGACAGAGAGTTGTCTGTGCACTTGATGCTCATGCAAACACTTATGGACACCTATGGGGGCACCGTGAATTGGGCCACACACACACACACACACACGCACACACACACACACACACACACACACACACACACACACACACACACACACACACACACACACACACACACACACACACACACCACTCAAGCAATGTCTCACGTACCTTCAACGTTTCACCAGGGATCAGCGCATTGGGTCTGGGCACCAATATGGCCACATCCCGCGAAGACTGGCAGTAGTTGGTGTTCATTCGTCCCACGTGAAATGTGTTTGGACTGACCCAGTAGATATGACTGGAGGCAGAGCGGATACATACAATGCACAGATAGACAGTTGACTAAGACCATCAGGCTCTGGATACTGCTCTATGTCCAGGGCACAGAGCCAGTAATACGCAACCATCATTCAGCCCAGTGTCTGGAGATATGTGGATTTGTAGAAAGAAAAAAAAGAAAAAAATCATTTTGTGTCGCGGAAGGTCGAATGCGGCACTTGGCCTCCAGGCGTGGACAAAAGGAGATGCTGATAACAGTGAATGCCTCGGAAAGTACAGTATGCCCCATCCCCCCCCTCTCCCCCCTCCCCCTCCCCCTCCCCCTCCCCTCCCCCTCCCCCTCCACCCCCCTCCCCTCCCCCTCCCCTCCACCCCTCCCCCCCCCCCCCACTCTCACACGCACACACACATGCACACATTGCGCATTGGACTCGGTAGAAGCAAAGAAACACTCACCCATTGCTCACGTCCAGCGTCAGATCAACCACAGTGCCAGCCGCAGCCATGAAGCGTACACTAGTTGACGGTGTGTTGTAATGCGCGTAGTAGATCTACACAAGAATGCATAAGTACAACAGCCAGATACTGTAAATAATGTTATGCCAAAATATGAAAGTTTCACTTTTCAGCGCTGCAAAATTTAGGCATTTCACGATTTTCGACATTTCGGCACAGGATAATACTAGCACACGTCCAAAGGCGATGTGAACGAATTCATCAGCGTTTCAATTTCGGCAATTTGGATCGGTGCCGAATATAGACGGACTAAAATAGTTGTAGTCTCTTAGTAGTTGTTTTCAGTCATTCTCTGTAGTATTTTGAAAAGCAGGGAACGGAAACGTTCAATACTTCTGAGACATGTCCTAATTGGCTTGTGGTGCACTCTTAACTGGTTAGTAACTTCTTATAAAACAGAGAGGTTCCAGGCTGTCCAAGAGTGCTCAATACTGAGAGCTGTTTTCTGATGATCGCTTTGTGCGTGAAACTCGGAGTTGAAACACTAAGTCTTTCTCTGTCCCCTTATCTGGTTAGATACTTCTTACGTAGATGCATGCGTAGACAAGACTTTCTAAATACTGTATTGCTTTTCTGCATCTGTCCTAGTCAAGTGGTTCGAGTCCCGGTGGTGTGACCGACGATTCTTTTCTTTCTTTCCCATCTGGCTTGCGAGCGTTGAGTTTCGGAGAGAAAAGAGCAGTACGTGGCATGTGGCCTCTAATTTCCCAAGACCTCTGTCCTAGTGTCAAATAAAATAGCTGCCGAAATCTTATACATTTACAGTCAATAGGCAAAACAGGCACACAATCATGTGAACAGGAAAACATGTTCGTTTGTAATCACTGGCACCGTACGAGCAGGCAGGGCGTCATTGAGACGTTCCATTTCATTCAATTTGGCATAGCGAGGATGGGCTTAATTTTTTTTTTTTTTTACTATGTTCACATACCCAGCTCGACAATAATAATGAAAGACAATGGTACTGAGACTAGGACGAACGTGGCAACTACTGAGCAGGGGCTGCACCGAGACGCTTGCCGACATGGCACGCACTTGACCGTGCGAAGAGAGACATAATGCACAAACATACAGCTGAGGTGGAGGCATGCCAGCACTCTGCCAGACATACAGGAAACAAACCAAGAGCTGACTACCGTGAAACCTGTCTAAGACAACCGCCGCTCAAGGGACCTTCAAAATGTGGTCTCTATTACCAGGTGGTCTCCTTATCCAGGGTCAATTGACTGGAAATAGCATCCCTTGGTCCTGGTTTCAGTGGTCTTATAGGACAGGTGGTCGCCTTATCCGAGTGGTCGCCTTGACAGGTTTTACTGTACATATCAATGTCTTACATCAGCTCCCAAAGTCCAGAAGATGCGCTTGCCTAGGTAGTCGACCGCCATGCGTACAGTGTTCACCGCACCCACGGCGGGAAATCCCACCACTTGCTCCGACGTCTCCATCACTGACGTCGGCAGCTCCGAGCCCGGTGGAGGGTTGGAGAAGAAGGACACAAGGGAGTTCGCCTGGCGTGTGAATGTCACCAACGACGAGGCGTCCTGGGCGTAGATCAGCGAACCGTTTTCGATGTCAAAGCCGACAGCTGTTTACCACGCACACGCACGCACGCACACCCATGTACATGCACACGCACACGAACACACACGCACACACGCACACACACACGCACACACACACACATACACACACGCGCACACACACACACACACGCACACACACACAAGTATGGTAAGAACAAAAAAGCAGGACATTATTTTAGTGACTTAACAACCATATTCAAAAGACCAAACTCAGTCATTTCATATTGTTCTGCTGGCCCAAATAGATATTTAAATTTGGCTGAATTTCTAGTTCTGAGTTGATCACAACGGTCACTTTTCTGTTTTCTGTGACAACTGCAAGTCAGTCGAGGTTCAACTGATGTTGTCGGACTTGGGCAGGTACACGTCCCCCCCCCCCCTGCACTTCAATACTCGTTGTTGGGGCAAAGAGGACCAGCCGGTCCGGTTCGGCACTCCACATGACTGCCACACGGCTTACCTGCAGGGGGTATCATTAGCGATGCAAGCTGCAGTCTTGGCAAGCCGCTCACTCCGCTGTACTGAATGGTGTAGCCCTGGGGATCAGTGACGATGATGGCCGACTCGGCTGTAGTACATACACAGAGACATACAGAACAAAAGAAAATCAAGGATTGTTTGCTGCTACTTCAAGTTTCATCCAGAAAGTGGTGGACATCACGCAACTGCATTGTAAATAAAAAGCGGGTTTGTCAACTGACAACCGCTCTCTTTAGTTGCTATTCACTCTTTAGTCAAAGTTTCATGCTCTCGCAATCATCAGGCAACATGAGGATAGGGTGCTGACCATGCCGGCATATATGCCAGCACTGGGTGGGTCTTGTAGCTGTCGAGCACCGTCAGCACACTGGGTACATCCTCCGGTGTACAGAGAGATATACACACGGGGAAGAAGAGAGGAAACGAACAAAGGAGAACGGGTGAGCGAGTGGGTGAGTGAGTCAGGGTCGGCGCCACTGGTACGGCGGCGGGGGGGGGGGGGGGGGGGCGGCGGCGGCCATGGCTGTCGTCGCATGCAACGGAGATCAAGGGGAGCACACTGCGAGATGCAGGGCAGCCAGAAATGGATGTGTGCATAGTACAAAGGGGAGCCGTTTGGTGCCAAAGGGGGCACAGAAATGATCACGACTGATGTTCAAGACAATGGCTGTATCAGTAGTTACCCATTCCAGCATTCATGGAATGTCCAGCAGCGAAAATATGTACAATAAAACCTGTAACTAAAGACTACCGTGACTAGCGATCAGCCTGGTACCACTACAGACCACTTCGCCATGCACGGACGGTCTCACATTCATTATGGTTGTGCGGTGAAAACCTCTAACTAAAGACCACCTGCCACGGAAGACCGTTTTCCGGCCCCAAGGGGTGGTTGTTAGTTACAGGGGGGTCTGTACGTGCAAGTGCTAATAGCTACATTGTGTACTGTAAAAGCAGAATTTTTCGGTGGTGCAATATTTTTCAGTATTCTCCAAAATCGGTGGTCCGGTGGAGGGAAATTTTCGGTAAACCTGTTTTCCAGGTAAGTGTCCTAGTACAGTACCGACATTTTCGGTGGTGTTTTATTTTCGGTAAAAATTTCGGCACCAAATCTACCGAAAATAGAACACCGAAAAATTCTGCTTTTACAGTACTCGTACACGCCCTAAACTGTCACTCCTGCCCAGTGAGGACAACGGTGCTGTCCATTATGTCCCCGTGACGCCGAGACCTCAGGTCGGCCGAGGGCAAAAAAGCCTCACCATCACTATGCTCCCACTATGCAATTTTTTTGTCTTTGCCTGCGAGCTGTGATTATTGTAAAAAAAAAGAAAAGAAAAAATGTCGGCTGCTAGCAGAATATGTTGTTGAAACAAACAGATACGATGTAGTACAGAGCTAGAGATTCATCATCTCATGATATTGAAATTGGACACAGGGTAATGATCAGTCATGCGGCCAACCGGGCCGTACCACCTTTCAGCAGCTGGCTCCCGGCCTGTGAGGGGGTGAGTGAGCATGTGCGTGTGATTGAGTGAGAGGATGAGTGAGCGAGGCAGTTTCAACGATTGAGGGAAGCCGACGGAGGGAGTGACAGAGGAAGTGAACGACTTAGTTAGGGAGCATACCATACCCCCCCCCCCACACACACGCACGCACGCGCGCACGCACGCACGCACGCACACACACACGGACACGTGCACACAGACACACACACACACACACACACATACACACAAACACACAAACACACACAGACACACTCCACACCACCCCATTGCAGATCATGCCGGCAAGCACACACACACACACACACACACACACACACACACACACACACACACACGTACCATTGCTCACAGCCAGCGTGAACACCTCCACCGCTTGACTGCCGCTGCCATAGCGACCATCAACGCCGCTTGCACAGGGGTCGGAGTTTGCAAACAGTACGTTATCATACGGATACACCTGGAATCGGTACCGTGTGGCCGGCTCCAGTGTGGCGTTCAGTGCTACGTCGACGGAGGGCATGACGGCGTCGAACACAACAGTGCGGCACAGGGACGGAGCGCTCTGGCTGGTGACGGGCGTGATGTCAACACGATACGACCAGACGGCAAACGCACCCGTGCCTGGGAAGATATAAATGTGAGCACCACCGCACGTGCGCGCGCGCGCACACACACACACGTACACACACACACACACATACACACGTACACACACACACAATACATAGACTGCGATTCAACACATTGTCTTGAAAAACAGTTCCATCGTGAACATTGCTCTTTGAGCAAGGCACCCAGTCCAAGACCCACCCCAGAGATGTGGCTTACCAACTGTGGCTATAGATGGTGGTAGCCATGTTATACGGGCTGCTGTTGCTGATACCAACACTTGCAAGTTCTGTATGGGATTCGAGGAAACTACACACATACACGCACATGCATACACACATGCGCATACACACATACGTGTGTGCACACACACACACACGCGCGCACACACACACCCACACAAACACACACACACACACACACACACACACACACCACCACCACCACCACCACCACCACCACCACCAACACCACCACACATACACATTTACACGTGCGAGCAAGCACGCACGCACGCACACACACATACAGCCATATAAGCGTAGTCAGATTGGCGGCACACATACAGATAGTTAGGAGGACATGCACACAGACAAACGGAAAGAGGGACAGACAGTTGGACAGACGGATGGACAGACTGACAGACAGACAGGCTGACAAAAAGTGAGCATGGATACTCTGGTATTGTGATCAGCGCATAAACACATGAGCTGATCATATTCCTCACTTTCATGGCACACGTTGACTGAAAATATTCCCTTTCACTCCTTTAGATCTCTCCACCAAAATTTCCATTTTCACAAACACATGTATTATCACCCTTCAGATTTGCGGGATATACATCTATTTGCCTTTGGAAAATCAATCAAATGACGTGAAAATGAAATGAAAAATGACATGTAACGACTGAATTCTACTTGTAATGGTACAAAAGGCCTCGTCAAACAAAAATGGCTTCTGTGCTTCGTATGGTAGAAAAAAAGATGTGTGTGTGTGTGTGTGTCCGTGTGTGTGTGTGTATGTGTGTGTATGTGTGCGTGTGTGCGTGCGTGTGCTGCACATACTTGGTCTCGGCTGAAGCCCGGAGCGGATCAGTCTCAACTGAGTGGAGCGGCCGTTGACCGGAATGGTACTGTCGCCAATGGAGTTGCCGAATATATCACCTCTTGTGGACGCGTCGTCGTCAGTTGCTGCACAACACCAAATACAGGGTTTGAACAGCGGTCAAGCTTGCATAAACTAGAATAGTGTTATTGTCAGCAAAGCATCGACACCTACAATCAATAATTTAGCAATACACTCGTACAATTCACTACTTAAAAATAAAAATAAATTTCACGGTTCGCGTGAGACTCGGCTGGAAGCCGAGTTTTCCGCATCCGCCGTGGGAACGCCACCACCCTCTAGGATCAAAGGCGCAGATGCAGCGCCTAAACGGTGGGAGGTGAGTAGACCAGACCCACCACCAAGTGGTAAAAGACCGAAATCCCATTAGCTGCATCCATGTTACCCTCAACTCACTACATGAGGGAATGGAAAAGAGAACAGTCTGATAACAAGAAAGGACAAAATGTTACGAGTTATGACTAACTGTCCACCAACGTAACCAGATGAGACGCAGTCAGCCAGTGCGACAAAGTGGCACAAAACTGACATGGAGTACTGAGACGTTCAACGACCTGACACCTAGCTCCAATACTTCTCCGAGGCGCAAACCAACAACCTTCCAGCTTGGAATGCTCAGGTTCGGAAAGGCTCGTTTTATCCATCATCATCATCATCATCAGCAGCAGCAGCAGCAGCAGTACCACCACACACCACCACAACAACCATCCACTACCCATCCTTCTCCACAATCACCATCATCACCACCATCATCACCATCATCATCTCTTATCATCCATATCATCAGCAGCAGCAGCAGCAACAGCAGCAGTACCACCACACACCCCACAACAACCATCCACTACCCATCCTTCTCCACAATCACCATAACCCTCATCACCCTCATCCTTCATCCACATCATCATAAGCAGTAGCAGCAGAAGCAGCAGCAGCAGCAGCAGCAGCAGCAGCAGCAGCAGCAGCAGCAGAAGCAGCAGCAGCAGCAGCAGCAGCAGCAGCAGAAGCAGCAGCAGCAGCAGCAGCAGCAGAACCAGCACCACCACACACCACGACAACGACCATCCACTACCCATCCTTCTCCACAATCACCATCACCATCACCAGAATCACCATTATCACAACCATTATCATCCTTATCGTCCATGGCATCATCATAAGCATCAGCACTGGCGGTAGAAATAATTCTCTTTGCCATCAGATTGCCACTCCGACTGGAAGTACTAATTTCACACACAGCAAAGTACTCACAGTGCAACCACGTCACAAAGTTGTTGTACGCAGCAAACTCGCGCGAGTTGTTGATGCCGGACACGAGCGCGTTCTGCGTGACCACTCCGGTCAGGAGAGAGTAGAGAAAGATGCTACGATTGGTTTGGAACAGTAAGGTCTGCTCCTCGAGAAACATCTGGAACGTGGGGATTTGATAACCATTCAGAATCGGGATTGCGCTGGCAGGGTTGCCAATGTCAACGCGCATCATCTGCCCCGTCACGTTCAGCGTGAAGTATAGGTACCTAGGTATGCCGTGTGTCCGCATGTACACACACACACGAGCATGCACGCGTGCATGAATGCATGCACACGCACACACACATGCACACGCACGCACACGTGCACACACACACACAAACACACACACACATACACACACACGCATACGCACACGCGCACGCACACGCGCACACACACACAGAATACACGCACGTTATCATCATAATCGATTCGCACACGCACCTCTGAAATTGCACTCAGGCCGGAGTTTTCCATGTACTTAAAGCGACAGCAATACACACGTATTCTATAGACAGCATACCAAACTTCTGCTGCCAATTTCTCAGTATCATTGCTCCTTTTGTTATCATCATGTTAACGCAAACTTAGTCTGTCATGAAAGCGTTGTTCCTAACCCATTCAGCGCCGAAGACGTATACATACATCCTTGAAAATGACGTCCAGGCGTGGAGGACGCATATTATCTATAGGTCTTTCTTCAGTGCGGACCCGTTGACTCGTAGATTGCTCCGCGATCGGTTCCAATGTCCCTCAGCGCCTGGGGAGTCCCCAGAGTGAGAGAGTCGAGTTAGTCACCAGCTAAAAAAAACCTACTACAAAGTTTTTACTTTGTGCGCAGTCGTTACTAGCCAAGTTGACTGTGCATGAGTTTCAGATTCCAGTGATTGGCATCTACATATATTTGTAAAATCTTAAATCAATGAAATAGAAGAGAAAAGGACCAAGGAACTACAAGTAATTACGCTATAATGTGCACTAACACCACCAGTTACTCAACGATCAGCTCGCGCGATAACATTGCACGACACTGACCGACGGTACTGACACGTTCTACAACTAACTGGCTACCAGCTCTAGCACATGGATGCAGTCTTGCATGTTTAGTAACTGGTGGTTTTAGTTGACATTATAGCGTAACTTGTAGTTCCTTGATACTTTTTCTTTTCTAGAACTTTACCCTTGGCTCTCCATCCGAGTCCGATGAAATAGAATAAAATAAAATGAAATGAAATGAAACACTGCGGCACGCTGACTCACCCATCCATGGGATCCAAACCCATATCGGTGACCTCCGTCGTCAGGCCATCGACAAACAATGCCGGCATAGTCATGTTGAAGTCAGCCAGCATGTCCACAGCCGTTGCCACCGTTATCTGTGTTCAACAACGCCGCCAAAGCAAACAAACAGACCGGGCCAAAAAACAAAACCACAAAATCAAACGCCAATGATATGGGCGAGGGACGACACAGTAGCTCACTGGTTTGGCTGGATCAGTGGCAAAAAGCAAGAGTCACTTCCTCAATGCATAATAAAATAAATACATTTAATTTCACGGTTCGCGTGAGACTCGGCTGGGAGCCGAGTTTTCCGCGTCCGCCGTGGGAACGCCACCACCCTCTAGGATCAAATGCATAATGGTGGAAGTCAATCGCTTCTTGGCAGGAAGTTTACCCCTGCACATCCTCCCTGAAATGTATGAGAGTGTGACTGATAGAAATAGAGAGAGAAAAAACCCGTGCTAGTTGGCATTCAGTGGCAAACAATGTGCTTTTGATGACACCGTTTTGCCACCTAATGCAGGGTATCTCATAAAAATGATGACGTCATCGTGTGTCAGTAAATTATTAGAAACACGATGACATCATCATCAGATGATGATGATGTCACCTCCCAGCCTGAGCCTGTACAGTGCACAGTACACACCTCCTCGCTGAACTACACCGAGCTAAGAGTATCTCCACCTTGTTCTTACCGTACTTCCACATATATAAGCGCATGGGCTTATACGTGAAAATTTGCTACAAAAAAGATTTTTGCTGTGTGAACATGTTCGTGTAGAAGCCCATGCGCTTATACGTGCAATACAGGTTGGTCTGTGTCCTAAACAATGGTGTTATCACAATGCTTAGCAGTATATTCACCTTCCGAGTGTTTCACCAATTGTGTTCAATTATAAGCACATGAGCTTATAATTGGGGGGGGGCGCTTAG